TGTTGCATAATACACGTGTATGTTGCATAATACACGTGTATGTTGCATAATACACGTGTATGTTGCATAATACACGTGTGTGTTGCATAATACACGTGTGTGTTGCATAATACACGTGTGTGTTGCATAATACACGTGTGTGTTGCATAATACACGTGTATGTTGCATAATACACGTGTATGTTGCATAATACACGTGTATGTTGCATAATACACGTGTGTGTTGCATAATACACGTGTATGTTGCATAATACACGTGTGTGTTGCATAATACACGTGTGTGTTGCATAATACACGTGTGTGTTGCATAATACACGTGTGTTGCATAATACACGTGTGTTGCATAATACACGTGTGTGTTGCATAATACACGTGTGTGTTGCATAATACACGTGTGTTGCATAATACACGTGTGTGTTGCATAATACACGTGTGTTGCATAATACACGTGTGTTGCATAATACACGTGTATGAAGGGTGTTCTACACTTCAATTTAGCGCTTTAAATTGTTTTGTCCTGTTGTATGGATCACAGTATAACTCTACCCCCCTGTGGGGCTTTTCCCACAGGGGGGGGGGAGAACTTGGTCGCTGTAACCAAGGTCTGCAACACGCTACTGGTCGCTGTAACCAAGGTCTGCAACACGCTACTGGTCGCTGTAACCAAGCTCTGCAACACGCTACTGGTCGCTGTAACCAAACTCTGCACCACGCTACTGGTCGCTGTAACCAAGGTCTGCAACACGCTACTGGCCGCTGTAACCAAACTCTGCACCACGCTACTGGCCGCTGTAACCAAGGTCTGCAACACGCTACTGGTCGCTGTAACCAAGCTCTGCAACACGCTACAGGTCGCTGTAACCAAGCTCTGCACCACGCTACTGGTCGCTGTAACCAAGCTCTGCACCACGCTACTGGTCGCTGTAACCAAACTCTGCACCCCGCTACTGGTCGCTGTAACCAAGCTCTGCACCCCGCTACTGGTCGCTGTAACCAAACTCTGCACCCCGCTACTGGTCGCTGTAACCAAGCTCTGCACCCCGCTACTGGTCGCTGTAACCAAACTCTGCACCACGCTACTGGTCGCTGTAACCAAGCTTTGCAACCTCCAAGTTCGATCATGGTATAATTTAAGGAGGTTATGCAGATTATTCGCGGAACACCTCTAATTATGCACTACCTGGCCAGCCCTCATACACAGAGGTGCAGGTATTTGACTCCTAAGGGCGCGTGTGGAGTCCTGTACAACGTCGATGACGCAAGCTCACGACCTTAAATGCGTCGTGTTGAGAGTTCCAAGATAAACGTGGTGGAGGTGGTGTCCCTGAATTGTTTCAAGCGCGGGTTGGACAAGTATATGAGTGGGATTGGGTGGTTATAGAATAGGAGCTGCCTCGTATGGGCCAATAGGCCTTCTGCAGTTACCTTTATTCTTATGTTCTTATATAGACGAGCATTAAGAAAGGGAACAGGAGGAGGTCAATGGATGCCTACGAGGCTCGTATATGCAACCTATGGTATGTATAGCTATTGGTAAACAGACTTACTGTGTAATGTATGCTATGTTAAACGAATGGAAAGAATACAAGCGTCTTTGTGTCCTGCCTCGGGAATCGAACTCCCTTGGTTTGAGCGGGTAAAGGGAATGGCTTTGCTTAAACTAACAGGAGGGTAGTTGTGTGTCGGGGTAGACAGTCGTCCCTCAACCGTCCCTTAGCCGTCCCTCAAGCGTCCCTCAGGCGTCCCTCAGTCGTCCTAAGGCTGTGGTGAAGTTCGTGGTTGTACTACCACTCCCCTAAAGGGATAGTACTTATAACAACCATTTAGTCAAACGTACAAAAGTGGACTGTTGGACAAATTATTTAATTATCCGAAAATGGCATAGTAAGAAAATCGGGGAGAGGGAGGGGGGGGGGGAGGGGAGTAGTAAGTGAAGAACTTAACCTATGAACCGTGATGTTATTCATACGTCAGACTGCGAGCAGCGCCCTCCAACAGTCTGGTTGACCAGACCACCACCAACCAGGAGGCCTGGTCAGAGACCGGGCCGCAGACACGTAGAATCTCTGAACCAACATGGGTAACCGCAAGGTATCCAAGCAATACTAGGCCTAATATATATATATATATATATATATATATATATATATATATATATATATATATATATATATATATATATATATATATATATATATATATATATATATATATATATATATATATATGCTATACTAGGTCTGAAATTTTGTTTTTTTCGTTTTCTATAACAGTAGAAAACGGGAATATTGTTGACTGCAACAATCTCTTGTGTGCATTCGACCAAATAGTTGCTATAAATACTATCACGTTAGGTATTTTATGTTGCTGGTTCCTCGAGTATGAAGTGCTGGGCCAACCTGTCATGACATTCTCTCTCCTCTGATGAACTGTTAGTTCTGGGGGAACCTTGCAACTTTTGCAACCACATTAATCTGCATTTAGAATGTTGCTGCATTTGTGTGATCAGCCACAGGTACCTGCCCTACCCGCGTACAGTCGAGATTTACCAAATTGAGAATCAGGCGAGCACTTTAAAAGAGAGAGAGAGAGAGAGAAGTTAGTGTGTTATGATAGATCCCAATTGGAACAGAGTTACGTTAATTCCAAGTTATTTCAACGTTATTTCAACATCGACTCAACGTTATTTCCACGTTACTATGATA